TCTTCCGATCTCCCCAAAACCCCAAAACCCCGTTGGTTGAATATAAAAAAAGATTTGATGATTGCATGATTGGTAGGAATAAATTTAAATATTATACTTTATTGATACTAGAAAGTTCAAGCAAATAATTGATTGATTTGCAATACGTCTGATGTCTAAAAAATTAAAACTCCAAGCCGAGAGAAACTTCTTTAAATTAGTTTAAGTGCTTGCCCAAATCACTCATTCAATTGATGCCTATTAACCTTTGGTTGATCTTTCTAACAGGTATCATCCTATCTTTGTAGGAAGAAGATGTTCTCTCTAAAAATACTCAGCCGTCAAAAAAGATCATGCTTTTACAAAAGCCTAATTATAGGAGGGAAACATTAGAATTACTCAAATTGAAATTCAAACTGAAACTTAACTTATCGAGCACCAGTAACTTCAAATTATTTAGAAACTCAGCTTTTTAAAGCATTTGGTGCCTCACTAGTCATTCATTATCGCTCTATTGTATATTGATAGAGCATGTTAGTAGAATAAAACCTTTCTCTTAAACTCACAAAATGTTATAAGAATTGCTTTTGCCTGTATTCTTATTGCTTCAAAGTTCATAGAAGAAGAGACAAAGCAAGAGAATAATATTCTTACGAGCAGAGGGAATCTTAGCAATAGAATGATTATCAAGTCAATGAGATAAATAGTCTTTGAAAAAGACGAGTTGCAGAAGCTGGAAATATAGGTTTTAATTCTGATAGACTTTAAAGCATATGTTTCGAAGTAAGAATATGATTAGTACTAAAAAAAATTAAATCAACTCTTCATTAAAAATAATACGACAAATAAAAATCAGTCTTAGGGGGAAATACTGGCTTCTATCCCTCATTAAGTTGATAATGGATCAGAGTGAGCTACTAAAGAGTTCATTGAATTGTAAATAGATGAAGTGATATTAAACAAACGAATTAAACTTAGAGTAATCGATTTTATCAAAGTTGAAAAACACCTTCAATTTTAAATCTAAAATGTTACTAATTATGTAAACTTTAATATTGTTTTTATATGAGGTTAAAAATATATAAATCAAACCATTTTTGTTGTTTTAACTTAGTTTCACTAAGTATAATGATAGTTCTAAGCCTATATCTTTCAATTATAGTCTTGGATAAGCTGTTTCCTATTTATTAAGACTCTTGTAGAATCACTCGACCTTTTATATTGATTGTTCAAATTGCGTTGATGCTATTAATTTCTATTTGAAATCTTCATTTCTTTCTGACTTCTTTCATTTTATGAAAACAATTCATTTTATCTTAATTACTACTAGCTTGTAACCAAAGTAGTATTCCTATGTCTATTTGTTTAAGATTTTGTAAGCATTGATGATTATTCTCTTTAAATTAACCTGTGGTTACTTTTGGGCGAATAAAATGAAAGTTCAGAAACTTACTCATTTTGGAATGGCTGATTTAACTTAAAGCTGTTAGATATTGGTGACTTGTCCAAGTTAAAGTTTTCTATTTTTTGAGAATATATAGGAGAATACTCGCTAGCCAGTATAAAGTTACTTACTTTGATTGGAGAATCATATTAAAGTCTATTTTGAAACATGTTTATACCTTTGCTTGATATAAGATTTGAATGAGTGTTATTCAAAGTATTACTTCCAGCAGTCATAGGCTTTTATTGTGTTTAAGCTCTATCAATCATCATTAAATTGTTTTAGAGAGGTGTCTATGATCTTTTATTCAATACTTCCTTTAGATTTAATTATTTACTATGAGTGGTAGTCAAAGAACTCTGATTCAGTCTATTATTAGAAGGTTGATTTATTAATGACTGCTATGTTTATTAATTCGATCTTTGACTTTCAATAAGTTTTCTGTCTAAGTTCCTAAGATCCTTTACTTACTTTTCATTCACCCATTTCTAAGGAGGTCTTAAATTGAATGTCTCCATTTTCTTGAGCGTTTGTTGTTTTAAGTGATGCAATTTATGCTCTAGTTCTTTCTTATCAGAGTTATCCACCATTGTAACAACGCTAAATCTTTACCTCTTAATTGCAGGCCTTTGACTGTAAGAAAGATTATCATTACTCATTTAACTGCCTTGATTTCTAATTGAACTCCCATCTAGCTATCTAATAATGCTATCTTTTTACATTCCAAAAACACTCCCTGAAGTAATATTATTGGATTATTAAGTAATATCAAAACTGAGCTAATGCATATGTGATGAAGCTCCAGGCATTAGTGATTAAGATCCTGATATCTATCCATTATTTGCTTAATGTTTCTTTCTTAGTAATAGTGCATTTCTGAGTAATCTTTTTTCATCTTTTTCTATCTATTCTTGATTGAAAAGACGTTGATCCTTGATATTTGGAGATTCCATGTACTGATTATGCTGAGATACAGTAGATTGCTAATAGAGTCTTTATTTAATTTCAATTTCTTTAAGTTCATCAACATCTTTATATCCATCAAAACTGAACTCATCTAGTTAAGTGCTGTTTTATCTGATCTTTTGATTAGTGCCTAAAGTCCTATTTTTGCCCCCATATACTTTGTAATGACTTGTAGTGAAAGCCTTTACCTTTCTTTCTCCTTCTGAGAGCATAAACAAATGCTCATTATTATCTTTAGAATATATGATTGGTGGTCTTGTTTTCAATAGTTTATTCTTGTACGGAGAGTTAACATATTTATCCTTATTCAGATCGATCAAATTTTATCTCTCCGTATTCTTTTTTACAATTGATTATGCCATCATATTATACAAGTCTTGATTCTTATCCATTATCAACCCACTTCCTTACTCTTCTTATAGTTAGTTTTAGTCTAAGTTAAAGTTTATGTTTTGCTGAACAGACTAATTCAACTCTTTTTGTATATTACTATAATGATGATTCACCTCATGATCTGTAATGCTTAGATCGTGCTCGAACTTCTTATGGGTATTCTCAACTAATCACTTTAGACTATTAGCAAGGTGCTTTTGATTATTGGTTATTTTTCTTCTTGACTCTTCTAATAATTAATTTCTGTTTCTCAGTTTTTTCTTGACAGAGAGATTTGAATGAGTCATGCTGGAATGTGTTCGGAATATCTCACTATCGAACAAATTATCTCTATCACTAAAATTCATTATTTTATTTTAATTAATTCTATTATTATAATCAACAATAATAAATGAAGTATTCAAATTTAAAATCTAAAAAGGTTCAAAGACCTGCTGCCACCAATGTATGATTATATAGATGTTTTTCTAATTCATGTATAGTTAAAATTTCGAAGAGATTCATCTTGTCCTGGCATTCATTCACCTATGAGTAATTTATCGATGTCTCTGCTAAGTGAATCCTTGCTTACATCTCCACTTTCTTTTCAAGCACCTCACAGCATAATATACATGAAATTAAGCGATAGCATACTTAAGAATCCAAAATCTCTGTCTGATAATAACACAAAACTTTCCCTCGTGGAGAAATCAATTAATGAAATAGATGATTTACATTCCCACAAGCTCATGGTATTAGAGACTCTATACCTAAGCAATAATCATATATCAAAGTTGGACAATCTACTTTAATTTCCTAATTTAAAAAACCTCAGTTTAACGTATAATTCTATCAAAAGTCTTGAAGAGATTAAAAAACTATATTTCTTACAAAATCTTGAATCCCTGAGAATAGAGGGTAATCAGATCGCTAACTTATACCCGAATTTCAGGAAAATTGTAATTCAAATCCTGCCTTAGCTTTAAATTCTAGATGGCAGTAATATTTCAGAGAGCGAGAGAAAAGAATCTGAAATAGTACATCTTAAGTAAAAAGCTTTAATGATTATGCTTTTTTAAAATCAAATGACAATTAGTCTTCTAATAAATATTAAGAACAAATCCCGAATTCATCATCATATGAGAAGCATTGGATTTGCAATAAATTAACTTCAAGATCTGAACCTTGACTACCTAATGAAAGCCTACTCTATTATTCTTGGGAAATTTGATGATTCTGATGTGAACATATGGTTTGAAAGAGAATATCTTAAACCTCAAAACCCAATCTTTGATACTTTCAATCACAAAGTTGAACTTAGTTGGGATTAGAAATTTTCGGAATTTAATATTTAGCAATAAAATAAAATAGCACTTCTAAAAGAAGAGCTTTAAAATAAACAGAAATCTTAAGGATAGTTGAATCATTAAAGAAACAAAAGCCAATAAGTCGTTCCAGCAACTCATAGAGTAATGAGCAATCTGACAAATTAATTATATGGAATCTAGTCGCCCAGAATCATTGAAACTGAAATTTCTCCTAACAGGTAGAATCTTGAATATGAAAATACACTATCAAAAAGCCATCATAGAAATGAAAATTAATCCTAATCGTACAAGAACTCAACTGGAAAGAAAAATCAAGGCTCAACTTAAGCGAAAAAGAAAAAGAAGAAGATTGATAAGAGTAATGGTGATATCAAGCAGACTAACTTAACCAAAATACTAGAAATGAAGGAGAACTCAATGATGCTCAATGATATGAATTTGCTTGATCAAACATTCAGCGGCCTTTTATTGAATGATAGCAATATTTATGATCAAAACATTAAGCATATCAAAATTAACCCACTTAGCCCTAACTCAATTATCAATAATAAAATTCCAATAATCAACACTGAAACTACAGGAACTAAAGTGAGTGAAGATATTTAGGTAAGTTTGTAAATGCTTGACAAGATTGAAACACTTGAGCAATAACTGAAGCATAGAGAAAAGATAAATGAAGATCTTATCGATAAGAATAAGAAGCTAATTTCAAAGATTTTGGAATTTAAGGAGCAAAATTAAATTAATGTAGAGAATGCCAAAGAACAGATTCTAGCTTTGTAGAAGCAATTAAAATATTCTTAAGAAGATTAACTTATGAACCTTTAGGAATAAGAGTAGATTAGATAGCATATGATCTACTTAGAAGATGAGAATAGAGTACTGAATGAGAGATTGATAGAAGTTGAGGAGTCCTAAAGCTAAATGAAAGATTTGCATTAAAAGTTAAATGAAGATATATTTGAATAAGGCAAGCTAGAGGTAGCAGTAAATATGCATGAATTCAACCTAAAAAAGATCTGGTTCTAGACTTTTAAAAGGAGCGCTTTTGTTCACAGAAGATTAAGGTCATACCTGACTTATAAAACTCTCAAGAGATAAAATTTTATGAAACTTATTAGCTATCTATATTTAAGGAAAAATGCAGCATTTTAAAGACACTTAGGCCAGATATAAATCTAAAAGCAAATTAACATTAAGTATGCTGTTCTTCATTCTCTATATAAAAATAAGAAAATCATGACTGGCTTGCATCAATTTGCTTACAAAAAAGAGAACAAGCTTATGATTCATTACTTTAGAAGCTTGTATGTTTACAAATAGATTTAAGACCAGAGAAGAGTTTAAAATTTCAATGCTCTACAGGTTAGAACGTTGTTTCTCAAGAATAGGGTTATGAAGAGTTTTAAGATTAATAAAGCCGAGATGTAACTGCCAATGAATCCAAATGAGCTACAGTATTACAATAAACTCATTAGAAATTTCAGAAAGTAGTTCTATTTTGGTCATTTAAAGTTCGTTTGTCAAAAGCTCATCCCATGGCAAAATCATAGGAAAATGCTGGCAATCAACAAATACAACAAGACTTTAGTTTCTTAGTGTTACAATAATATTTTTAAAAAGATAATGCAGAGAAAGAAAACATTTAAGCCAAAGATAAAGTAACTAAGAATAAGTCATTAAAAATCATTGCTAGTAAAAGCATTTAGTGTCTTGCTCTTTTATAAGCTTGAATAACAAAGGAAATAACCTCTGAGATAAGATATGCTTGTTTTCTAGTAGCTTAGATATCTTAATTTATGGAGATAGAGGTATCAATATAGAGTTAACTCAAATACTAAGATTAAATTTTTCAAGCTTAGATGGATTGTGCTCAGAAAAAAGATAGCATTGAGATCGCTTTAAAAAGCTTGTGATAAATAGCACAGACTAAATAAGTAGCAATATCTAATATAAAATTTTATGAGACACAAATAAGCAAGGGTAATATTTAGAAATTGGCACGATATGTATAGAGAAAGAGTTCTTGAGAGCAGAAGAATAAAGTTTACATGTTTTAGAGAGTTTAAAAGAAATGTAATTCTTGGCAGAAAGATAAATAGCAAAGCTGAAATAATAAGATAAAAGTTCAAACTTAGATTAATCAACTCTGCTATTAAAGTATTATAACAATTCTCACAGAGCAGATCAGCAGAAAGAAAGAAAATAGAATTATTTCGGTAAAGGCATGTGGATATGGTGAAGAGAAGATTTTTTAATAAGTTTTTAACTGCTGGCTTTACTCAAGTTACCCAAAGATATAGAGAAGATATAACAGTTTTATAAGTAATTTTAAATCTCTTATTATTTACTTAGGATTAATTGCTTCCTTTGCAATCAACATTCGATGAGAAAAATACATAAGCTTAATTTTTCTTGGGTAAGTGCTGTGAACTTGAAAATGAAGTTTAAACCCTTTAAATGGAAATATAAGGCTAAACTCTACATTAAGTAAGTTAAAATAAGCAATAAAATTTGATTAGAATCAATTAAAGGAACTTCATTTGAGAGAGATTGATCAGCTGTAGCAATAGATAGATTCACAAGTTTAAAATCATAAAGACTTAGAAAAATAAAATGCTTAACTAGAAAAATAAAATCATGAACTATAAGCACTTCATCTGAAGAAATTAGAGGAGTTCAAGGATAAATTTGTAAAATCTGAGCAAGAAATTCAAATACTAAAAGCATAGGTTAAACACCAAGATGAAAGTAAAAGAACATTAGAAAAAGAGAATAACATAAAACTGCTGCACTAGCTAAAGAAGGCACACAAAACTATCGAGGAAATGAGAAAAGTAATGGAAGAGGCAGATAAACAAATTACTGCCGCTAAAATTGAAGTTAACTAAGTTAATTTAGAAAAGGATCATGAAAGAGAAAACCTTGTTAATAAGCACATTGGGGATATTAAAGAGATTACATTTTTAGTAGATAAAGTTAAGAGAGAAAATACTGATCTTAAGAAAGAAGTTCTATACTTAAATGAGAAACTATAGATATTAAAATTGCAGCAGCAATAATCTTAATAGTAGTAGCAGTACTAGTAGTTATAGTTATAATAATAGTTACAGATGGCAGGATCGAAAAAAACTGTGAGATTTGAGCATGAGTATGATAAATTCCCTAGCAAACATAATAATGTTGGGAATATAAGCAATATAAGTGGAAGTGGTTCCTAAACTAACAATTAAAAATATGACAATTGATACTATAATTAAGAATATTTTAATCTTTAATTCAATAAATATCTTAAAATTAAAAAATTTCTGCTTTCCGGGGTTTTGGGGTTTTGGGGTTTTGGGG